TTATTTTTCTTATTATTACAAATTCTAAGGTTATTAGAGGCACTGGGAATTTACCAAACAGTCTATTTTGTTTGTCAAATAAAAATTACACTTTATTAAAGGTCAGAATTTATCTGTCAGCAAACAAATTTCTTTTTTTTTTTGCATAAAAAGTTTACATTGTTTTTTTTTGAGGTCTAAGATAGAGTCTGACTAATCTCATTTATTTAACATCAATTTATCATTCTGTATCAGTATTTGTTTCGCACGTATTTCTTTGATGTAAAAAGTGCTTTCTTGTAAATTTTGACACTGATCAGGAAAATGGCATTTCAACTGTTTGCTAATCAAATAGTGTTGATAGAAAGTTGCAAAAAGCATATTATTGTTCTTTGAATTTATATTCGATCTAGCCACTAAACAATTCTTCAACAATTAATTGTATCAGAGACTGTAATTGTTACTATGCTACAGAATTCCGAAATCGATGTGGTTAACCAACACCAACAAACCACCTCTTCGTCAAATATTAGCATTTTCCTCTAAAAACCAATGTTTTTTGCGTTGTAATATCCGCCTGCAGAGTTTATTAAGTTATCCTAATACAAATGTGTTATAAAAAAAAGATTAAAATTTTTGAAGATTTATTTAGTTTTGAGGGTTTACAACTGAATATAAGTTTATTTTTCCTGGCCAAAGCTGTTCAGTAAGATTTGTGCCGTAAACTTTATAGCAGTTGTGTAAGAAAAATGAAAAAAAAAGAGATTTTCATTTATTTTTTAAGTCGTTAATATTTTTAAAAAATGTTATTGACGGCAAATAGTGAGAACAGTTTAAGCAACTATGAAAGTCATTAATGGTAGTGATCTTTTGATCAACGTTTTTTATCAAAGTGAAACATTAATCAGACGTTTTTTTGATCTTTGTTGCCTTATACTTAGGCAATGCGTCTGATAAAAATACGAAAAGTTTTTTGACCAACACTTCAAGAAAAAAAAAATTCAATTTACACGTACAATATTTTAGCAAATATTTAACAAATCTGGAACTGTATCTCTTCAAAATATAATCCAAGTCTTTTAAAATTTTTATTGTTTGACTCTGTACTTCAACATTCGTTCAAAAGTTCTACGCAGAAATATTTTAGATAGCTAAAGCATTTTTTTATTCAAAAAGCAATACATTTTCTTAAACTTAATAGTCATTAGCAGAACAGCCAGTTGCATATTTTAAGCAGTAAGTATTAGTTTCCAAAAATAGTTAAGCATGGAACTTTTTAGCCTTGTACATTTTCTTGCCAGTTTACCAATGGTGCCATTTGCATCCATCAATAATGCCATGTGATGTTTTAAGTTTGAAATGAAAAGTGCTGTAGAGAGCAGCTCAAAAGTCAAGGATTTTTAAAATGAATAGTTGCAATTCAGGAAGAAAGTTTAATAAAAAAATTTGGCGAAACGACATTGGCAAAGATAGTTAAAATCGTTAAAATATTTGTTATAAATTTTTACATTATTGGTTTATTGTTTAAAAAACAGCTTCTGCAAATATCTAATGTTAAGAAAAAAATAGAGTAAATTGGTTATTGCAAATGCTGTTTTAGGATACACATTCAGCTCTATGGTGCATTTTTGTAAGGTAAGAACCAAACCTGCCACAAGAAGGTCGACTGTTTCTTAAAACCCCGTCAAAATCATTGGGTTTCGACGGTGAAGCATAAATATCATAATACAGACATTTATCATAAAAGAAAATTCAATAAATTTGCTGACTCGTTTTTGAGGATTAGACAGTGTCTGTAAAACCCTGCAAACAAGTATTTACTATGTTGGGTTTGGATTGCTAAAATTTGCTTATTTTTTTCAACATTAAACATCACCGAGGAATAGTTTGAAAGAACACTAATAGGTTTTAACATTTTTACCACAGAACTGTTTATTGAGCTGTCACATTTCTCATCCTTGAAAATTTACTTCTTAAAGTTTGTTATATTTATGCAATTCTTACGACACTCTAATATAAACGAAATAGCAAAGGTTAAACAGTTTACTTCCGCAGTCTAAATCGTTAAAAATTAATATTTTTTTCCTCAACAACTTATAAATTTTTTATTTTTTCAGTATAGCGTATCTTCTAAAAAAATTAATCTTTTTTAGGTAGTAAAATAATTCTTCTGACAAAACTGCTTTCTGGTAATCCCCGAAATGTAAAGCAACAGTGTTTTAAAATTTTGGCAAATTTTGGCTGTATTGTTTGCTACAACAGTTGTCTATTCTTGCCAAGTTATTAGCTCATTCAGATAGCATCAAAGTCGACGTTACCACCTATAAACAACACACTTTTTTGGTTTTATACTTCCAGTATCAGAATTACATTAAGAGGATGATCAACCAAAGACAACGTAAAATCAATTGACGATAAGTTGTTGCATGACAGTTTTTAGTTTTTGTTTTTGTACAGTAATATTTCTGGGCAACAACTTGTCAGCTGTATGCAAATTTGGAAACAAATTAGCGGAGGGAAATTGTTTCTTGAGCACCACTGGCAGTTTTTTTGATGTGTTTGCAACAAGTAGTTTAAATTAAATTTATAATGTTAAAACGCCTACTGTCAAGCGGACAGAAAACCTTAAGTGAAAATTCTGTTGAGTAGGCTGTATAATTGGAAGAGTAAATTGGTCAGCTTACTGCAACGAATACCATTAGACTGAGCATTTTAGATGTATGCATTGAAAAGGAATTTTTCTTGGATTATCAGCAATTGTCTTTGCTGTGCTTTTGCTGTATTTTGTAACTGCATTAAAATTTTATTTCTTTTACAGCATTGATTAAGTAGAATTAGTCTGTTTGCATTTCCACTTGCAATATTCTCTTATCGTTTTAATTATAGGCTACCAAAATATCAATTATCTTAATTGAATTTCCTCTTCTCATTTTGCGTTTTAAACTTAAGCAAATTTTCAGATGCTTTTTTTTCTTAAAAATTTGTCATGATTAAATTTATAATCAAGATATTGTTAATCAAAAAAAAAAAAAAAAAAAAA